GTTTCTCCTTGGTCAATACCATTATTTACATTATATGGCTCAGTAAGTCCTAAATTTGTAATTACTCTGTTTGTGTGATTAGTTAAAAGATTAGTTATAATATTGCATAATTGAAAAGGGATTTGAATTCGTTCTAGGACAAGTTTAAGAAGATCAAGATTAACAGAGTAATAGGCTTTACTTATATCCTGAGATAAAAGCCATAGCTCTTTTTTGTTGCAGTATGAATCTTCAATTATATTATTTAGTATATGAATAGGAGTATTTGTACTATTGCCTGGCAAAGCTATATAATTATGTGAATTAAGAATTTTGTGAGAGGTGAAGATTGAGTTAAGTCGAGTTATTAGAATTTTGATATAAAGTTTTTTGATGTGTTCAATAAGACTAATTAGACATGTATTATTGAGATCCCATCAAAAGTAGATTTTTTAGAAATAGGAAAGATACGACTATCTTTCCAATATTTTGGAATTGTTTGTATTGTTAAGTATCAGTTAAGTAAAGCTGTGATTGCTTGAATTGTATATAAGCCAGAATGCTTTATCATTTCATAGCTAATTCCAGAAGGTTTACAAGCTTTGTTATTAGATAAATTTCTGAGAGTCCTCTGAATAATACTAATACCTAAGAAATGTTGTTAGCATTAATAAACTTATTCCAACAAACAATACAACCTGAAGCCTCTGAAGAACATCTATTATATTCAGAATTCAACTCCAAAGACACTTCTATTTTCACTCCTGCAGAAATAGAAATAAGAAAAAATAACCTGTGTTGAAAAGAGAAAGGTAAATAAAGAAAACATAGAATTAGAAAGAGAATCAATAGAAAATGATAAAGAGAAAGAATAACTGCAACCTAATTTAATCTGATAAGAAAAAAAGAAACCCACAAAGAAATCAGCACCAGTAAAAAAGAAGAAATTAGAAGATAACACTCTACAAATCTCATCTCTAGTCTCTCCATACTTAATTGTCACCAAAATTCGAGATAAGCTAGCTAATATCACCTTTGGGCAACTATTCAAAACCACTCCTGCTATGAGGTCCAATTTAATTTGATCTTTACAAAAGAAAAAGATAATAATAAGGCAAACATTAAGAAGCAATGTTAATTTACAAAATATTCAAAGATTAACTGCTCTATATTGTTACACAAAAATCCAAGAGAAGATAATTCCACTAATTATTAATAGTGAATTCTCAGGAAGCATCATATCATCCTATCTCTTAAAAGATTTAGAGATTAAAATCAACTGCTCTACTACTATTAATATGATCAACATCTACAGTGAAAGCAAGAAGGCTATCAGCAAAATCTCTGAATTTCTATTCATTGTAAGAGGAATAATAATTCTAATAGACATCATTATAACTAATGCTAGTTCTTATAAAGCTCTAATAGGTAACAACTAGTTATCAAAGGTGAGCATATTAATTGATTAGAATATTTTAGAAATGATGCTTATCTAGGATAAGAAAGAAGTGACAGTACTTGTAGAATTTAGAAAATTCACTTCAAAACTACTTGAAGATGAAAGACTTACAAAAATAAGTAAGAAAGAATTAGAAATTAGTAAAGAAGAAGAAATAGAAACAGAAGGGGAAGAAGATGAAGATGATGTTAAAGATGAGAAAATGGAGAATAGAATTTATGAACTATCTGAGTTAGAAGAACAAGACGAAAGTTTTGAAGATGATAGTATATATTATAGAAACCTGAATATCAATAACCTAGGACAAGAAAAGCCTGGTAGGATTTAAACAGTGATAATGATTATATAAAAGATAGTTGGAATCAAGAAGAAAGATACTACTATGAGAAAGAACTTATCTTATTAATACCCTTGAATCTTTGGTTTATAGAAAGTTTGTAGTTATCAGATATAGAAACACTAAATAACGAATAGGATGAAGAAAGAAGAATAGATGAATTTCTAGACTTAAATCTGAGAAAGATAAATAAAGAAAAGACCAAAGAAATTGCAGACCTCTTTGACTTTTATTTTAGTGAGAAAAAAAACCAGTTGTAATGTATAATGTCAAGGTGCTCTCTAAAGATAAAAAAGAAAAATTAAAATCAATTATAAAGAAAAACCAAACTTTTTTGTCAAAGATATCTCTGAACTTGAATGTAATAATAAGTGTTGTCACTGGATAATCACTGCAGATGCTTTACTAATTAAACAAAGGCCATACTAGTATTTAATAAAAGTAAAAGAGTTTCTTAAAAATGAATTAAAGATAATAAAAGACAAAGGGATAATTTGGATCTCTTATAGCCTCTAGTCTTTCTGTAGTTCTAGTGAACTAAGGAGAAAGAAAGACTTGTATCTATATAGACTACTGGAAGCTTAATACTATTACTAAGAAAGATAATTACCCTCTCTCAAGGATTAATGATCTTCTGTATACCTTAAAAAGGATCATTATAGTATACATCTCTAAACCTCACTAGTAGATACTAGTAGGTCGAAATGGCTGAGTAAGATAAAGAAAAGATAGCTTTTGTAATACCTGAAGAGATATATGAATTTAATATGATGCCTTTTAAGTTAGCTAATACTCCCACTACCTTCTAAAGGTTAATAAATAAAATTTTCCAGAATATTATAGGAAAATTTGTTATCATATACCTCGACGATATTAATATTTTTTTCAAAAACTTCGATGAACATCTTCTCTATCTCTAAGAAGTTTTTACCTAGTTACAAGAAGCAAGCCTTAAACTAAAACCTCAGAAATACTTCTTTAGAAAGTGCCAATTAAAATTCTTAGGGTATATAGTTAATACTAAAGGAATCTCAACTGACTGCAAAAGATAAAGGCTATTTAAAAATTTTTGACACTCAGAAATATGAGACAACTATGAGGATTCCTAGGACTTACTTCTTATTACTAAAATTTATACTAAAATTCACCAATATTGCCACACCCCTAAACCTATTATTAAAAAAAATAAAAATTATAAGTGGGTCCTAAACAAGAAGAGTCCTTCTAAAAATTAAAGTTAAAACTTATTACTATTCTCATATTAATCTACCTTGACGATTCTAAACAGTTTATAATATTTACTAATGCATCTAACTAAGCTTTAGGTGCAGTTCTTTCACAACTTGATTCTGAAGACCAGGAATAAGTTATCTTTTATACCAGTTGTAGTTTATCCCTAGTTAAAAGAATTATTCTGTAACAGAGAAAGAGTACTTAGCAGTCATGTGAACTACATCCTATTTCTAAAAGTATTTGTATGATATTCTCTTTTTATTATATATAGACTATTCTGCCTTAAAATTCTTGTTCTCTCATAAATTGCCTTAGAATAGGCTTACTCATTGAATTCTAATACTGCAAAAATATTCTTTTAAAACAATATATAAATCTAAGAAAAGATATCTGAATACTGATTTCCTATCTTGTGTATAGGCAAGACCCGAAACTCGTAAATAAGAGAAAACCTAAAAAAAAAAAAAAAAAAAACAATAACAACTCACCTAATTAGTAATATAGTAACATGAACAAATATTTATTTTTTTAAAAAAAAAAAAAAAAAAAAAAAAAAAAAAAAAAACTATAACAAACAATGGACTTAAAAACTTATTATTTATTTCTAAGGTATCTTAGTGATGCTATGATACTATTAAATTACAATAAAAAATAATTAAAATATCGAACTTGGTATTACCTAGTTTAAGAAATGTTATTATATAAAAGAAACTAGAGAAACCCTTCAAGACCCCAACAAGTTCTCAAGCCTCAAGAAATAGAGGCAGTCCTATTCAGTATGCACTTAAATCCTTTATCTAGCTACTTCAACATTGCATTGACTTTTCAGTGAATTTTAGTTCATTATTTTTAGCCTTAAATAGAAGAAAGTATTAAGGCCTACATTAAGTCTTGTGATTCCTGCTAAAAACAGAGACGACCAAAAGTAAAGAGCTACTTCACCTAATTCAAATTAGACAATCTTTTGATAGAGTAGGTATCAACATTGTAGAACTACTACCTCTCACATCAAAAGGAAGTTGTTATATAGTAGTTGCTACAGAGTATTTAACCTGGTGGCCTGAAGCTCAAGCACTTAAAAAAGCTAATGCTATCTCAGTAGCAGATTTTTTGTTTGATGATATAATCTGCTAACACAGGAGTCCTAAGGTATTACTTTCTAACCAAGGCTCTATTTTTGTAATAAAGTAGTAGATACTCTTTATAACCAGATGAGTATTAAGTATCATCTATTCACTATCTACTACTCGCAAACTAATGAGTTGGTAGAAAGGTTTAATCATACCCTCTGTGAGGTATTTGCCAAGTGTTTAAGCTAATTTGGAAATGAATGGGATGATGATATTTCCCTAGCCTTATTTGCTTATCAGATGACCAGACACAGTATCACTTCATATGAGCTATTTTTCTTAGTCTATAGTTATGACACTCTTCTCCTTATAGAAACTAGTCTACTTACCTTTCCTACTGAACCAACTACTGAAAATGAATTACAAGGAAATATCCTAAGACATATTGAAATATTATTAGGAAACTTGGTAGAGGCCTGCTACTAAGCTAATAGTAGGATCTAGAAAGCACAAAATAAATAGCACAACTATCACAACTCTAAACATTAGATAGAGTCATATGAGATTGGCAATTTAGTGCTCTTGTTTAAATCATCTCTAATAACGTCATATAGCTCTAAACTCAAGGAAAAGTAGATCAGACCTTATTATATCCATGAAATATATAGGAATAGTACCTACAAATTGAGAACTAAAGAGGGACAAGATTACAAAAAACCTGTATATAGGAACAGGTTAAAGAAATATCATATCTAAAAAAAAAAAAAAATATTTATTATTATTTATTTATTTATAGAAATATTTAAAAAATATTAAAAAAAAAAAAAAAAAAAAAATATTTTTTTATATATTTACAAATTAGTAGAAAGGATAATATTATATTATAACCAAAAATGAGTTCTCTAAAAATTCCCTGTAGCATTCAAAAGACCTTATCATTATTAAAAAGACAAATTCAAAATGAAGGAATAGAAGGAACTTTCACTATATCTGAAAAAGAAATATGTTATTCAAATGAGTAAGACCCTACAATAAAAATTAATCAATCATCTGTTCTAACAGAAGCCTAATAAATTCATGAAAAGTTACTACTTTATATCAAAGATCTAAGAAAGGATGAAATAATCCTCAAATCTCTAGAGATAGTAGTGGGTAAAAGTTGGAAAGATCAAATCAGACTTCTCTATGATAAATTAAATAAGAATTCCAAAGATTCGTTAGCCAACTTACAAGATTTATACCTCTTAGGAGAAATAATAAATAATAAGAGTTGAAGAGACTTCACCTGAAATACTGTTCAATAAAAATTTCCAACTGGTCATAGAAACATTTAGAAAATAGCTTTCCATATCTATACTTTATACTCTTACTATAGTGTTCTAAATCTTTTTGGTACAAAAAATATTATGCTCTATATTCTATTAAAAATGTATGAAAATAACTTTAAAAAGTTAGTTGATGATATGAAAATTATAAGAAGTCAAGAAGACATAAATCTACTTGATCTATATAGAACTTTCACAGAGGCTCAAGTTCAAGAAGGCGAATATGTTGGAATATAAATTAGTATCTCGATCCAAGTCACAAGTTTTATTATTTTTTTTATTTATTATTATTTATTTATATTATTATTATAGTTTTCTTTCATTATTTCAGTATATAGCTATTTATTTGTAATTTATTCTACTCATGCCCTTGTTTACATTTAAGAACTGTAGTAGCTACACCTGTAAATATAATGGTGAGCAGTTGAGACAAGAGTAGAAATATTAATATAAGCAGTTGAGGCAAGTATAAAATATTAACATGAGTAGTTGAGGCTATGATATATAATCGAATAAGCAATGAATAAGTGATGTAAGCAGTGTAACTTCATGTTACCTTAGGATAGTTTAATTACAGGCAAAGCAACTGCTCATGAAGGAACAAACAACTGCTTACAAGAGAATAAACAACTGCTCATAAAAGACTTGCGTGATAAATTATATAGAATTTACTTAGTATAGCCTTCATGAACAAAAATGTATAAATATAGATTCTTTTTGCCTTTTCAAAGAAGGAACCAGTTACCAAGTTACAAACAAACTACAAATTACAAATAAAAATTAATAAATTAAAACAAATTCATTATTACCTTAAAATTTTGAATCCTTAAGTTCCAAATATAAAACTTCACTAATTAAATAATATATTTCTCACTATGTTTATTTTTATTTATTTATTAAAGTATATACTGTGTTTCTTAATTAACATAAAGAAAGTAATCATTAAAGCTAAATAGACCTTTTACTGAATAACTAAGAGTTATATTCTTAATAAATTATATAGGAAGTAACGTTACATGTAGAATCATTGTTTAGATTGTTAAATAGGATCAGTAATTGTTTAAACATTATGATTGTTTTATTATTAGTATTGTGATCAATGTATAAATCATGTTTATTAGTTTTATTATAGTACATTTAATAGTATCGCTACTCTTATAGATATCATATCATTCTGATCTACTCTTAAAATATCATCACTTCTAATTAGAATCATTAACTCAGATATAAATAACTACCAATATTTCTTACTCTGATAGTAATTAGATCATTAAACCCCATATTATATTAACTATCAGAGCTAAACCATACAACCTTAATCACTCTTCCAATTTACGATAGTAATAGCAAGTGAGTTATTTTTAAATTCAAATATTATAAGAAACTATTAATTAACTTTGTATGGCTTTATGTATATTAATTTTAATAATACTTACTAATTTTTTTTTCAATACCTTTTGCTGACTTTATTAAACAATATATATAAAAAATTTTGAAACAGGACATGAAAAACTTCAAAAAAAATTTCAAGAAATTCCTGGGTATATAGTAATAACAACTAACATATGGACAATTTCTACTAATAAAAAGTTATTTATAGCTATTTCTATTCATTATCTAGATATAACATAAAAAATAAAACATCTTCTACTAGACTTTATTTATATGAAAGATTTATATACAGGTGTTATAATTGCAAATGCTATAGAAGAATATCTTCAAAAAAATAAGATTATCTTAAAATTAATAGCAATAACTTGTGATAATATATCTGCTAATATAAAGTTTTTAAATGATTTTTCTAATTCTATACTACTAGCTAGTTTTAGGTTTAATAATAATTAGCAATCAATACGATGCTTTAATCATGTTATGAATCTTGCTATTCAAAATCTTTTAAAGGTTGCAGGAAATAAGTTAGAAAAGGTTTTCTATTTTACCTATAAGATACTAATATACTTAGATTATTTTTCTTTATATATATATTTATATTTAATTAATTTATATAGTTGCATGCAATATTGTCATTGGACAGCCTTTGGACATAATCTTGGATATCTTGGACATTTTGAACAAAAAAATAAACTGAATTTACTCAAAATTTTATTAAAATAATCTATTTAAACTTCTTAGGCAAAAATGTTTATAATTAAAAAAAGAATATAATCATATAATTTTTATGTTAATTACTAAAATATTTAAGGCTATGGACAGCTTGAACACTTTGGACACTTGGACATTTGGACATTGGACATGTCCAAAAAAGCTTTGGACATGCCAAAATATATAATACTGGTTGCATGAGTTAATTTGAAGCATTAGGGGATCATGAAATTGCTGCAAAAATTAAAATTAACTATTGTACTAAAACCAATTCTTGATGTAGTAATCCAGTGGAATTCCATCTTTTATATATATGAATAAGTATTAAAATTAATGACAGTATTAGATGCTATGTCTTTTGCTAAAGAAAAACTGTATCAATATATTTTTATTGAAGATGAGTAGAAAAAAATAAAACTTCTTGTTGAAGTTTTATAGCTTTTTGAAGATAGTTAGTATTTGTTATTCAAAAGACTTGAATCTACAGTTTTTATTTATTAAAGATAAATTTGTAGATTTATTTCTAAATTAACAGAATACAGCTTTTTTTAGTTTTAAAAAAATATATAATCTTAAACTATAATAGACAAAATATTTGTCTTTAATTTAATTTAGCAACTGTATTTATATCATCATCAGAATATCTAACATTATCAATAGTCATCTCACTCTATTATTCATTGCTTGAATTACTTGAAGACACTAAAAAAAATAATAATATGCCAGAATAGCTTAAGAAAAGGTGCAAAGCTACTGCTGATAAACTTCTAGAATATTGCCAAAGAACAAGTCTTTTATATATTATATCAGTTGTATTAGATCTATGATTTAAAATGCGATATTTTAAAAAACTTAAAATATCATCTCTAGCTGAACAAATTAAAGATATTTAAGTATAATATTTAGAAAAGATGTACTAGAGAATCTTAATTTTTTTTTAATAACTGAATATTGGCCAATATATTTATTATTATTAAATATTCATACTATTGAAGCTATAATGTCTGTCTTTTTGGAGTATTTTGTTAAAATGAGTAAGCAAATATAAAAATAATATAGAGTAAGGATTAGAGTAACTCAGGAACTATACAAGTAAAACAAAAGCTTAAAAAATAATAAAGTAGCAGTTAATAAATTAGACAAATCTGAAGAATAGCTTATAGATTTAAGTAAGTTATAGAAATTAAACCAAATATTGCATTACATCAAAAGGTCAGAAAAGAAGAATATATTTATTATAGCATATTTTTGTATTTTAAAGTATTGATTAGACTATAAAGTGCAATATTTACTATTTTTTTTCTTTAATATTTCTTATTATAAAGTTATATAAATAATATCTAATTTATCTTCGAATGAGAAGATAGATTAAACATTATTTATATAACTTTACAATAAGAAAAAATAGTAAATAATATATCTTGTAGTCTAGTTTAATATTTAAATATATAAATATACTATAATATATGTAGTATATTGTATCTAATTAGTTTAATTGCAAAGTCTAATTATTCTAATTGCTAATACTATTTAGACTTAATAATTCATATATTAATTATATTTTTTAGAATTAAAGATAGATATGAAAATTATTATATACCTCTTCTCGATTATAAACTTGTAAGCTCAACTATTGAACTATTTCAAAATATAATAATATGAATTTATAAACAAATATGAGCAGAATAACTATCTTTAATGATCACAATTATAGATGAGAAAACAGATATTTTAGAATAGTAGCAGAAAAAGAAAATGATTTTCTAAATCTTGTTAAATTTGCAAGGGACTGTCTTCTAATACCTGTGATAAGTGTACTAAATAAGCAAATATTTAGTATCAGTAATAATATAATTACTAATAAACAGAATAGATTAGATAGAAAAACTGTAAGAGCAGCAATATGCTTAAGATCATGATAGAAGGAACTAGAGGATTAATATATAAAGTAATATCTAAAAATATTTGGTATTAATATTTAATTCTATAAAAATTTGAGTTTTATATAGTTGTATTTTTTCAGAAACCTTTTTTTTAAACTGAATTTCTGACTATAAATATGATTATAGGGTAAGTATCTATTATTTTCGCACTAATGTTTTTTATTAAAATATTTATTAAATTTTAATTATTTTTATTCGTTTAATTATAATTATTTTTTTCATATTATTATACTATTATTGTATTCTAATTGACACTTGAATCATATTTTTTTTATAATAATATATTATCTTAATAATTTTATTCAAATACTAAATATTTAAATTTATATCTTTTTAAAAGTTTTTTTTTATAAATAAATTTGCTATTTTCATTTAAGCTCAAATATAATTTTATTATATTGAATTTTTTTTTTTTTTTTTTTTTTTTTTTTTTTAATAAAAGCAGCTTACTATGCCAAGCAGATTTTATTAGTTTAATATATAAGATTGTTTATTAACAATCTCCTAAACAGTTTGTAATTATATGAAGAGTATATAATCTGCTATACATATAACTTTAGTTATTATCTAATTTAAGTAGTCCACCATACAGATAGATCATCTGTTTGGTTCTACACAAGTTGCTATATCTGTAACCTACTTGTGAATTATCTATTTAAATACTCTGTTCATCTAACTTATACTAGAATCAACTAATATTACTGTAATACCTAACCACTTAAGCTAGCTAGCTCATTGCAGATCTATTT